GTAAATTTTTTTCGAATGTTTTTCTGAACATAATTTTATGAGCAACTGTCAGTTAACAGTTTAGTTAAACGTCCGTGGCCCGAGCAATATCTAAATTATAAAAGGTTTTTTTCTAACAGCGGTCGCCCCCCGGTGTGTTTCCGCCATGAAGAAGCTTCTAATAAGGAAACGAAAATTTTAAATATTTTTTCCTTCCGAACTTGGGTTTTTTCTCACTAAAAAATGTACATTAAGAATATGGCGCTGCAGCCAGATTTCTATTGAAATACACTTATAAAACAATTTGTGTATTTAAATCCAAAATAGTGTCATGGAGAGTTTGACAATGCTATGCAATTCGTTTATGAATTGATCAAATTTATACATTTTTAAGTCCAAAAAATTTACGTGAAGAGCGTTGAATAGAGTATTTCCCCTTTCATTACTCAGGCCTGCGAAATTTAACTTTATTACATTACAACGCTTTTAATCAACTTGCAACGTTCTTGGTCCGGACCACCATTTATACTATATATGTAGCAAAGCTATTTATGGCAAAGTCTAGATACCAACCTAGTCTGGATATCAGTGTCGTTGTAGATATCATATGAAACACATACAATTAGAAGACTCTAGATGTCGCCCCGCCAGAAGAAGTTAAATATAGTGCCAAAAAATATGCACTACATACGCTAGAGCAGAAATGAACGACACGCCATTTCTTTAAGTAAAATTAATTCCTGCTATGTGCATGTATGTATGTACATATGTATGTATATACTCAACGTGAGCTCAAAACAGTTTGCTTATATAGTCTTCTGTTCTCTTTTCACTGCAAGTTTAATCATTTAAATATCTATTGCAAAATTTTATACAAACAAAAATAAATAAAATAAAATAAAACTTTCTAATACCACGCTTTTATAAATGGACTAAAACTTAGAAAGTAATATTTATAAGTCCCATAGAATTTGTTTTGATAACTTTTAATTTTGAAATTTTAGCAAAGGTCATTAAAACATGGAAAATTGAATTGAATGGGCTAAAAATCTGCATACTCAGCTTTTTTTAAAACAGTCTAATTAAAAATTGAAATATTTTAATGGAAATTTGTAGAATTTTCTTTAATTTTGCACAAGGTCTGGAGCTCTGCTTTTTGGGGTTTATGTTGTAGAATTAACCATATTTTTATAAAAATTTGCGAAAAATTAACTAGTTAAAAAACAATTGCCCGTATTAAAAAGAAGTCCGCTGTACCTAAACTTTATTGACTGACTGTATGTTTATTTGTAAAAAATATTTATATCTATTGTCCACAAGCCTATCCTGGCCTCCAACTGAGACCTACAATAAATAAAATCATTAGTTCAATACAAAATAATTGCTAACGAAATTCCAGACACGGAGTTGTCTAAACTAATTAACCATCTGTGGTATCTCAATTCGCAGTAAAATAATTTTTAAAAAATGTCAAAAGAAAAAAGGTTAGAAAATTAATGTCCGAAGCTGAAATCGATGAAGTAAATTATGACGACAGGAATGTAAAAGCCAGACCCAATCTCCATGAACTTTATAATTTATTAGACAAAGAAATTGATTTTTTAAGATACATATTTGAAATTGATACAGGTATGGTGTGTAAAAAGTTCAAAAAATGGGAAGGAGAGGAATAAAATTAATCTAAGGCTTCAATTCATCCTTGAGAAAAGACGAAGCACAACGACAGTTTCTATTGATATATAATTTTGCAATATAAATAACAAAACGTATTTTGACATTATTCAATAATACAATTATCAAAATATATATAAAAATTATGTATGTAGATGTAATCAATTAAGTATTTTAGTGTTCTTAGACTTTTGCATGGAAGTTAACATTTGAAAATTTCTACTACTGATTTGATAAATGCTAAACACTGTTAAAAATAATAGTTTTATTAAAAATTGTATAGAGATAAAAATTAAGAAGAATGTAGTTTCGCTTTTAATAATGCCCGAATTAGGTTCCGGGAATAAATAGCTTCGATTTTAAGGGCGAAAAAGAAGTTTTTTTTTTCGAAAAATTGCTATTTTCCTTAATTTAACCTCAATTATGCACGTGTTCTCATTACCAGATTGTGCTGAAGCTTTGTCAATCACATTTTCTGGCCCATTGGCACATTTTAGTGGGGTGCTCCGACAGAAAATGCAAAATTTATTTCTTGTACCCACCCTAATGTACATAAATTTAAAATGCCGCTGCTATTCAGATCGCTAGCTCGTTTTACGATTTCAAATATCACACTGAAGAAATAACATGAAAAGGGGAAGTCGCCTTATATCAAACGTCGTTTTGTTTTAAATGTCGTGGAAAGGTCCTTCGCATTTTGTACGGAGAATCAAACTGTACTCAGTCTTCATGACCATATAAATTTTGCAGGGACTTTAAATTGACAAGAAGGTGGTATACATATATCGATATTCGAATGGAAGGTTTTCGCAAGATTTAACGCACCGTGCAAATCTGGACAAAGGTGGATTTGTAAGGTCTAAGGCCTTCCTGATAAGGCACAATAAGGAGAGATGTTTACGAATAAAACCTTTTTTACGAAAATTTTAATTTCAGTGTACTTACATAAATAATTACTGTTAACCCTGAACATCCTCTCTAATTTGTTCTTGAGAAATTAAAGTTTACAAGAATGGGCTAATTTGTCAAATTCTCATGTCTTTGCTACAATATTCAATAAAGCCTATAATTTTCGTACGCATGTGTCTATGTACATAGATAATAGTTTTCGAAAGTTAAGGACTTTTGCGAAAATGCTCCTTGAACAGCAGTACATTATTTTTGTATGTGTGTATTTTGAGTAAACACAAATTTATATATTTGAATGTGGGCGTTGTTTTATTTGCACAAAATACGTTATTTGTTTGCCTTTAATTTTATTCGAAAATATAACGCTGTGAATGTTTGCGTATTTGTGTTGATTTGACTTCACTTCAACTAAGTTTACAAAAGTTACTTAAATGCTGAATTTGAGCCCATTCAAGTGGAAGATAAGTTTAGCTTGTAAAAGTTTATCTTGATAAGCAATCTAATATGTACTATATACTATAAGCGAATATTTGCCGAAATATTTATGTGTAGGTATATACATAAATATTGTAAAGGCAAGTAGTATATGTACATGTACATATCTATATTTATGTACACGCGTACATCGGCTGCATATGCCGATGAACTTGCGAGAGGGTCTTGTTGAAAATTAGCTAAACGGGGGTTGTAGGTTTGCATTCTATTTGAATTAATTTTAGTTTGAGTTTATGCAAAAAGAATATTAATTACCGTAATATAGAAGCAGTGATGACAAAAACTATCTGCAGCATTTAATTCAATGAAACGTAAAACTTGTTTGCACTCGCTGCCAATTTTGTACTTTGTTAGGCAAATAGTTTATGTATAAACTGGCATAAATAGTCTGATAAATACTACACTAGTTAAATAAATATTTGTGTACATGCATTTAGATATACAATATTTCCGGAAGTTTAGTTATCATTTGATATCTTTGCGTTTATTGTATGTATATCAAATTATATATTCATATAATATTTTCATATTTATAACTTCATATTTGTTGCATGCATAATTCGCTAAAATAATATTTAAATAACCATTTAAAAAAACATTTAGTTTTTGCAGCAATTTTACCTATATTACAAAAAAAAACGAATTTACTAAAACTAAGCTTACTCTCCAATAACACTGTAGGATAATCGCAAGTTTTGAAATGGCACGGAAACGCGGAAACTCAAATGGCAGTCCTAGTTTTGGGATATTTATTCTATTTTTCTAGATTCGGTAATTTTTCCAAGATATTCTCATTTTTATGAACAAAAAATCAAATTTTAACAGGGCAAAAAATTAAAAAAAATGCAGATTTTTAGAAAATTATTTAAATGAAAAGTGGCGAATGGTGAAAGGAAAACGCCTAATTATTTTTTGTTTTGTAAATTGCGAACATCGCTTCTTTAGCACTTTCTGTAGTGTTGTAAAGAAGTGCATACATTTTGCATAAAAACATGCTATGAGGGATTTTTTGGTATGAGGAAACCATTTCTGCACCTAACCTTTTCTTAAAACTTCCACTAGAGGGCGCAATAGCAAACTACAAATTTATTTTAGGTCCAGGGTTCCTTCGGCAAATTTGCTTAGGATTACATGTAGAATCCTCCTATGTTGCGGGAGTATGCATGTATGTAAGTTCCTAGTTGTAGCCTAAACGGCTGAATAAGATCAAAAGAAGTTTTCACACAGTAGTATTTCCATGACACCTGGTTCCACCATAGGATATAAAAATTGCGGCATGTCATATCCGATATTCATGAATTTTTTAATGCTAGTTTTCCACTAGGGATTAAATGGCAAAAATGTAATGGCAAAGTTGGCATTAAAAAATTATCTTTCAAATAATAGTCATTGGCGGCCCTTGTGGTATAGTGGTAAGCAGTACGCGCTTCCACTCCGCAGGGCCTGGGTTCAAGTTCTAGTCAAAGCAACATCGCAAGTTTTACATTTTTTTAATTAATTTGAGCCATCGGGAGTCCGCTCCGTAATCTTTACTCTGTAATTGAAAAAGGCTGGTACTGGACAAAACGAAGACCAATATAACTGAAGCAACAATTATTTCTGGATGCGGCAAAAGAGTAAATGTTTTACAGACAGAAGTCTCATTAATTCCCACAGATCTCCTATTTGACTTCCTCTTAGCTTAGTCATAAGGATTTAGATTAAATAAATAGTATACTTTAATTTATGGTAAACTGAAAATTTGTGGTACCGATAGTCTATAATAAATCTAACTTATAATAAATCTTGTTCTAAAAATACTTCGTGAGCATATTTGTTAAAAATAAGTATACATTTTTTATAGTCGGAAACTTGTAGTTACACCTAAAATTTTCACTTTACATGTCCATTACCTTACATATGAAATTGTCCAAAAAAAAATATAAATTGTTTCCTTTTCATTACAGGTCTACATTGTGGGACATATACCACCCGGTTCAGATGAGCGCCACATCGGTTTGCAACAGAATGGGCACACCACTTTCACCGAAAGTAACAACAAGCGTTACTTGGAATTGGTGCGCAAGTACTCGTCAATAATACAGGGCCAGTTTTTTGGTCATTTACATTCAGATTCTTTTCGTATCATCTATGATGACAATGGTAAGTAGACTTGCGTAGTTTTCTATTAATCTTATTTTGAAACTAATTTTAACTAGAAAATGCCCTGTGTGCTTTTCGGTGCCTCAAAGGCATTCTTGTCCTTTTCATCTTTAGTCATTAGGTGGCAACCTGAGAATCATTACTCTTAGTGGTGAAGGCTGGATCCTTTGTGAGGTTTATTAGGTCAAAAGAGTTTTGCAGTTGCCCGCATGACCAAATCTAGTTTACAGAGAGTCGAAGTTTAGGAATAAAGAACATTATTACGAAACTTACCAGATTCCTTCAAAAGAGCAATACATAAATATTTGTTTGCACTCAACCTACCCATTTTTTTACCATATTCCAATATTATTCCAATGTATTTCCTATTGCTGATTTTGATACAAAAATCTCCAAAAGAATGGCAAGCGCACCTAAGGCCGAGGCCACGCAATGAGCGGCAAACCGGCTGAGCAGCTGAGCGGCGCCATACAGAAATGCCGCTCAGTCGCTCAGAAATACCGCTCAGTGCATGGCCACTTCAATAGTATTTCATATTTTTTAATTTTAACCCGCTCAGCCGCTCGCTGCTTTGCCGCTCATTGTATGGCATCGGCCTAATAATATGCTATATCTATGTATGTTACCTACATACTTCCATTTGGCTGATTAAACATTCGATCTGTTAGAGCCAATTTACACGATGACTTTTCACCCTGGGTGGAAAGTCATGCGTGTCGAGCTTGCTGGCAAGAAGTGTAGCGAAGTCAGCGGGGTAGGCAAGCACGCACGGTGAGCGAAATCGAGTGGTTTTTTGACGTTTCGCTTTTATCGAGTTCACTTTTTCGTATTTTTTCTTTGAGTTCGCGATTCGCTCCGCTTTAAAAATGAGGACGAAAGAGTTGACAAAAAAAAGATTTTACGCTTAAATGTCAAAAATACGCAAAAAACGGCGCAAAGAAAAAGTCATCGTGTAAATGCACGAGGATTTTCGAAGACATTTTTAAAAGAGAACGTGCCAAAAACGCAGGGTGAAAAGTCGTCGTGTAAATTGGCTCTTACTTTTTCATGTTGCGTACATTTAAGCCCCACCGCTTTTCAATTTAGCGTTGCGATTGTCAGAATTCCAAAAAAGCACACCGGTTCAGTCAAAAGTAGCCAAAAGAAAAAACATTATCAAAAATTAGAAATTGAATTATGGAGACAAAATTTTAACTGGTTCAAATATTCAGGCAACAGAGAAGACTTTATTCTAAAACAAGCTTGTAAGTGACAGAAAACAATAAATTTCTTTTGACAGGAGGACGTAAATTTAAAATTTTCCGGGGTTGTGAGAGTTATTAATCTTTCCACTTAACAGATAACGTCATTTTATATCAAGTTCTATGTCGCTTAGTTTAATTATATGCGAGATATGCGGCACTTGACTTTTAGTGGTTCATAACTGAAATTTTAAATCAAGTATAAGTTAAGAACTCCATTGGCCACATTACGTTTAAATTTTACGCCGATACAGTAGCATATCTGCTCACTATGAGAGCCGTGGCACGTCCCTTATCCCTGAATTTTGAAATAAGCTATAACAAGGAACGCGTTTTTTGGATCACAAGTTGTCAAAATTTTTAATGAATGAAATAATCCAACTTTCGGAAGAAATAATTGTCCTGCAAAAATTATAAATTTGAAGTACTTTGAAAAAAAAATCAAATCTTATCGTATTTGAAAAAAAAACTTCATATTTTTGTCTTTGTATCATATTTCAAATTAAAGTGCCTGGAAAGTATCCTGTCAAAATGTTTGAATATCCTGTCAAAATGTTAGGCTGGGTGATTAAAGTAATACATATAAAAAAAGACTAAAGTTATTAAAATAAATTTAAAAACTAGCAAACTATGCACTGAATTAAATTAATTCCGATATTTATAAAACATTTTAATATATTAAAGTATTTGTCAATGGCTCCTACACTTAGTAGGGATTTTGCTGCTGGTTTTGTCAGTCCGTTTAAATTTTTTTGACGTAGAATACGTCTTACGTCTCGATATGGAGGCTATGCTCAAATGTTCTGAGTTGTTCTAGTTATTGCACGAGAACTATTGAAGTGATTTCAAAGAAAAGCGGCATGCATTTCAAAGATAAAACCTATCGACAGATTCATTTTCGTAAGTAACCAGTTTGGTTTCTGTTGTAGAAACAACGGTAAATATTGCCTTATTTTCGAGCAAATTTTGAGCCTTTTAAGTGCTTTAGCAACTTAGAATTGGAAGATATAACTTTCATTTCTGGAATAAAGTTTCTCTGGAGTAATAGAAATATTGTTGTGTTCAAATTTTATATAAATTCAACAAATTTTGAGCATTTTTTGAAGAATTTTGCTATTTTTTTTGTAACTAAAGTTCTTGAAAACCGCTCGAACGATTTTGTTTATGTTTCTTTAGTCAAAAGCCAAAGTTTTTTCCTTTCGTTTGGTATATGGAAAGTATTGGTTGGTATCTTCTAAGTACGTTTATTTGATTAAAGTATATAGCCATAAATTATTTTCCATGCAAAATCACTTAGTTATCTTTTTGCAAACACGTGCTTGCACTGGAAGTGAGAGAAGGAAACAAAAATGCACAGAGAGGCTTTATCTACGTGTCAGCAAAAGCTTTTGTTATAATAATAATAATAGATTGGCGCTTACACATATGTTAGTGTTTGGCCGAGCTTTTCCTCCGATTTGTGGCGTGCGCCTTGATGTTGTCACACAAAGCGGAGGGACCTACAGTTTTACGCCGACTCCGAACGGCGATTGTATTTTTATCAGAAGCTGTTTTTCATGGCAGAAATACACTCGGAGGTTTGCCATTGCCTGCCGAGGGACGACCGCAAAACTGAAGAAGAAAAAACCTTTTTTCTATATTTTTTGCGATGTTGCTTTGACCAGGGTTTGAAAGGGAAGCGCGCACTGCTTACCACTACACCACAGCGGCCGAAACCTTTGTTATAATTTGTTGAAAACAACTAAGGTAAACTCTTCCGTTTTTCGCATTTTCTGACGAACGTATTATTTTGAGTTGTGACTCTTTTGAAGACGGTCTGAGAAGTATGAATGCATAAATGTACACGAAAACTTTTTTTTGAAGTGAAACTTCTTTAGTAGCGGTTGGTTGGTTGGGAGTAAATTGGCAGATTCAACGGAAATTGCACACGGAAATGGTGCAACGGAAATTATTGGGGCTGAAACAAGTGCTTCTTGAGTGTATGGTATTAATTTAACAAAAAATTGCTAATAAAAGGTTAAAGAATAAAACTTAAAAAAATACCAATACAAGAATGAAAGTAAAGGTGAGTACATACATTGATAAAGAAAAGGATAAAGCCAAAGATAAAAATAAAAACAAAACGAAAGATGCGTAAAGATAAAGGCAAAAATGAAGACAAAGGTAAATTTAAACACTTCTCTTATATATATAAGGGCAAAAGTGAAGGGGAATATGTAGATGAAGAAAATGATAAACATAAAAGTAAAAACAAAGATGAGGATGAGAAAAATTAAAATAAAGGTAATTGAAGAGGAAAAGATATAAAGAGAGACACAGAGACTCAGTCGGGAACTATTTTGGGATTTTAGAAATTTTCGAGATTCTCGAGACTTATCGATAAAATAGTCCATATTTTTATCGGTTTTTAGTCGATATTTTTATCGATTTTTTTATCGATATTTTTATCGATTTGCTATCGATTTTGTAATCGATATTTTTTATCGATTTTTTAACGATATTTATCGATTTTGTTATGGATACTTAGCGATTTTGTTGTCGATATTTATCGATTATGTTATCGGTATTTATCGACTTTTTTATCGATATTTATCGATTTGGTTATCAATATTTATCGGTTTGGATATGGATAATTTACTTAAATATGGATATCAATCAAGTGGCTTTGAAGAAACTTTATCTTCAAAAAATATGTAGGAGGGTTTCCACCCGTCTTCATTTTAAATGCAACTTTAATTAAGGGAATTAGATAATTTAAATATATATGTACATATATTTGGGTTTCACACGAAAAAGGTATAACAGGGTTTTAGTTTGAATTTATTAAAGTAATATATAAGTTACTGTATGAAATATTAAAATATGGGCGTCAAACAAAGGAGTATTGAGAAATGTTTAGCTTGAGAGGGCTGCAATCTGTTTAAAAAAGTAAACTCTATATATTTAATAAGTGAAAGGAATCAATGCGAGATTGGTAGTTGTTGTTGTTGTTGTAGCGGCACTACTAAGCCCCGCCTGTTTCGGGTCAACTTTTCAATCATTATCGTCGAGCTCAACTAACGGTAGGCCCAGGAAACGAGCTGTTTCGATGGGGTCGGACCAAAGGGAGAGGGGTGTTAGTTGAGTCGGGTTGAGCTGGGATGTGAGGAGGTGGTTGGTGTCGTGGGGGGAGTCTCCACATGCCGGGCACTCATTTGGGATGTTTGGGTCGAGTCTGGACAGGTAGCTGTTTAGGCGGCTACAATATCCAGACCGTAACTGAGCCCGAGTAACGCGGGTCTCTCCAGGTAATTGAAGCTCCGTCTCTTCCACAGGTGGTGATTGGGCTCCGATAACGACATTCCTAGGCCTGGAGTCGAGGTAGGTGGAGACTGACTCCCTATGAATGTCGTTAATCGCTTGTCTGTACGTCATTGGGTCCAGTGGTTGGTCTGTGTAGGTCTGGACTGCGTCCTTGTACACGAGTAGGTGCCCCCTGACGTGCCTGAGCGGAGGCTCCTCCTCCAGCAGTGGTCTGTTAGGGTGTTCACTTCTGTGACACCCCACCAGAAACTGCTTACTGAGCATTTTATTGTGTTCCCGTACGGGGAGCACTTGGGCCTCGCTGTGTAGGTGATGCTCAGGCGTCATCAGAAGTATTTGAAATGGGTTTAAGATTCAGTCCAACAAAATCAAAAGAAATGTTTCATGTACAGTTTCTAACCTGAATGTGCTCTTAAAAATATCATGTATTCTATGTTTACGTTTAGAGGCAGTAGC